TCCTTTTTTCTTTTTTTTTTTTGTTTCCAACATTTTCGCGCGATAAAAGCTACGTTTTCTACGTTAAATAGATCGTTACGCGAAAAAAGGGGGAATTCAAATCAGTTCGGAATCGCGGCAAACGTTTCCCTCGTGTTACCCTCGCGCTCTCCGAATCGTTCTCGAAGGCGGGCGTCGCGTAACAATACCTGATAAAAATCGATTTAACTGAGAACGACGGCATTGCTCCGATCCAATTCGCGTATGCTAATGGGATCTAATCCCCGTGTCTTTTTTGCCGTGTACGTAAAATCGCCCGATAATTCCACGTTATCTCGAATAATTTGCTATTACACGGCCCTCGCGTGTGTTTTTTAACCGGTTTCGTTTCGAGTGACTTTCGCGCGCGCCGCGATGTCGCGCCCTCCTTCCCTTCTCTTCCCTCCACAACCCTCGTGCGCGAAGCTTTTGCCGAAAATGTTCGGGAAAAACTACTGACCCGGAAAACCGTTATGCTTTCGTGTTTTATCGCGTACGACATTTCTTCCGCGCATGTGTTTCATCGCTTTTAATTTCCTCTCTTTTCTCGTTGAAAAGTGTGGAAAAAAACTCGACCAGTGTTGTATTTTTTTTATTTTTTTTTTTCGTTACACTTACTGCATTAATATCATTTCGAAAATATACCGCGATAGAGTAAGAAGTGCCTTGTCTTTGTTAATATCACGATTTTTATTTGTGCAAAAATAGTCTTGTATTTTTTTGCGTTATTTGCGCGAAGTTTCGTCGCAATAATTCGAAATATCATTTTGAAACTATATAAAAACAGAAAAATATAATACAGCAACTCACAAACATTTTTAAACTCGTGCAAAAATAAGCAAATCTATTCTTTGAGATTTTCTGAAGTTCTTTATGTGGAATTCGACACACACACACACGCACGCAATGGAGAATCTTTCCTACAGAGTTGGCGAGAAAATCAATTAGCATCAGCAAAGATGTCGCGTATGTGCGCATTTAATTACGTTCGCGAGCGGCAACAAACAAAAGTTTTTCTTATTACATTCGGATTAAAGTCCGAGTTTGGAGCCAGAAGAGCTTGTTTCTCCATTGTGCTTCGTTTCCCCCATTGCTTTTCAAATCGCGGCCGAACTTTTCTCCGTGTGTATTCTTTAATGAAGATTCTTTTTCGCGCGCGCACTAGAGTTCTTCCTAACGCTTACTTTACACCGCGAATAAGAAATTCACGAAGGTTCGACGCGACTGCTTTTTCACCGGCTTTACGAGCGAGGCATATTTAATGCCACGGGAACCTGTTTTCCCGTGAACGACGCATTTACTCGTCCGCAATAGTTTTTGTGTCCGTGTGTCTCACAACACTCTCTTTCTCAAGATCATTCTTCCGCAACAGCTGTAAGCTTTTGTGACGCAATTTAAGGTAACTTAACGATGCGCGATCGATGTGTAAATTGTGTTTCGTCGGTTTTTGCGGGAACAACAACAACAACAACAACACACACAAACTCGCAACTTTGGAAATCGAAACGGTTAATAAAATTGTGTGTGCGCGCACATAACGCGCGTGTATTTACAGAGACGATGTAATTTCATTCAATCGGTAAAACATCGATATTAACTAATTACAGACAGTAATCCGACCGCTAGTTTGTAAACAGCGCGTAGTTCAACATTCAAATGAACGATTTCAATTTCTGAATAATACACAGACGTTCCAATTACCCGTCCACGCGCCAAACCGATCAAGTGCGTTTTACCGCGGCGGTTTGTTTGTTTGTTTGTTTTTTTTTTTTTTTTTTTTTGAAAATGTATATCAGTTATTTGGTTTTCATTACGTCATGATTTTGTCATTGTGCCTACATGCTGAAAATATAATCGCGTCACTTCGCAAATACGATCGAATGCGCGGAAGGAGATTTTGCGATAATCTGCTTTCGCCCCCTTCTCTCCCTCTTTCGTCGCGAAAGAGTCGGCGAAAGTAAAGCCGTATACGTGACGCCCCGCCTTTATCTCCGCTCTCGCAGAAAAAGAAAATAACGCAACCCTAGGAATTTGCGGGGAGGTAACGCGGGTTTTCCTCCCCGATCCTGACGCCATCGACGCCAACGTCGCCGCGCGCGCTATCGGGAATATTTTAAATCACGTCCGAGATAATCGAATTCCACGCCGCGAGAAGAGACGCACCACGTTCGCCCGGACGTTATTCACCCTTTAATGGCGGATTCACATCCTCGTATACCCAACATCCTCTTTTCCCTCTCTCATCTCTCTCTCTCTCTCTCTTTCTCTTTCTCTTTTACCCTCCGGCGCGCCATTTACGCATCGCTGCTACAGGCGACAGGCCCGATCTCGTAAAGAATGCAAAGGTTCCTCTGGGGAACAGAGAGACCCGGAGTTACGTTCTCCGGACCGTATCGCCCCGTAAATTGTGCCGTCCATCCTGATTCCCGCACCGCGCGCGGCGCGAACCGCACACGCGCGCGCGCGCGCGCGATCATCTCATCTCCATCGTCCGATACCTACGTCGTCGTTTCCGTATCTACTACGTGCCGACGTTCTAACCGCCGGAGTTATGGAGTCGATAGTGAAGGCACGAAAAGGGAAGAACGTTATTTATTAGCCTGTCAAACCACTTCTTCCCCTCCCCCCTCCCCATCTCTTCCCTCAGATAAGCGGTACTCTTGAAGGAGAAATTATTAAGTGGTATTTGGGAGAGATCTATAGTGATCTATTTTTTTTTTTTCTACGCGATTCATAGGCAGAAGTTCTCCTGAAGGGTGAATTAATCTCGCGCGGAAAGAGATATACGAGAGAAAGAGACTTCCCCCGCGGACTTTCTTTCCCCTCCGGACTTGCGAAACGGTAGCGATCCGAGAGAGGGTCGTCGGGCTCTTGGTCCGCGCGTATTGGGATTGTCTTGTATTAGCGTGGATGTTTGACATTGGTATGGATGTCAAACATCTATATCAATACACCCAACGCTATTGACCTGGATGTTTGACATTGCTCTGTATGCCATGGAGATATCTATGTCGCAAACATTATTACAGCTCGGTCTGAAGTAGCCCGGTCTGTTTCGTCGCGCGCGCACAGTTATTTTTTTCCCGACGCGAATTAACTTTTACCTTTTCGCTAAAAATATACAAAAGCGGTCGAGGAAACGCGAGCCGACAACGTGTCCTCGGATTAATTTCGGAAGAAGGGCGCGACGGGAATAAACTTGACGGAATCTTGTTAATAACACGTTTACGTCGCGCTGTGCAACGTAAACGCCGAAGCTATCGACTTTCTCAGCGTGTGTCGCGTGAGTAATAAAGAATCGAGTCGCGCAATCAAGACCGCGGAGGAGGAAAATCACACGAATGTGACACTGAATGCGAGGCGCGCGAACCATTGTTACCGAGTGAAACCTTCAATCAAGTATAATCTTCTCTAAAGAACAAACAACGTGCGAAAGAGAGAGAAAGAGAGAGAGAGAAAGAGACCCGCTATTTTTATGACTGGAATACGCTCGGATGGATCTATATCCTCTCTAAGCAGGCCGACGAACTTTGGCCGGGCGACCGAATATCTCATCTTTCTCTATAATCAAGCTCGCTCGCTTTCTCTCTCTCTCTCTCTCTCTCTCTCTTTCGTTTCTTTCTTCCTTCCTGCCGGAAGCGTCGTCGATTCGCGAACCGGTTTCTAGAAAAATGGCCGTCGAGTTTTCTATTATCCCGATAAACATCTCACGATAATCCGAACGGTTTGTCAATAGCGCCGGGTGCACAGGTATATATATATATACAGTGTTCGCGAAGTGTTCGACGCGAGTCCTCCTTCGTAGTAAGTAAGTGAAAGGCAAATGCAATATCACACGCACACTCCCCCTCGTCCGGGATTACACGTCCTTCAAACACACGTTCGGCTTCCATCCTATTACCGGATCCCGAGAGTTCAGCCGTCAAAGTTCACGTATCTTTGGCGCGTTGTCGTCGCTCGTAAGACGATTAGTTCTGATAGGATGCGTTTTTGTAAAATGCCGAATTCGCGCGTTTACACGACGCGATCTCGAAGATCGCGTTTAGTTCTTTTCCGAAAGAGAGATAAGTATTCTCTCGCTCGACATTAATCCTTCGCACACAGACATCGAAAGTAACCTACGAGTTACACAGACCGGGATCCGTGAGACCCGAGCGACTTTTCGAAATCAAACATTGCGAAGAATCAATATTTTTTCAATTATTTGTTGTCTCGAATCGTAAGATTAAACGACTCTGCGTCGATAAAAAAAAAAAAAAAAAAACAAATTGAAAAAATCTCTAATAGTTTCGAAGATATAAGCGTTTAAAAAAATGAATTTTTTTCATCAGAGACACTGATACGCAGTTTTTCGAGCGAGTCTGCACCGAAAAAATTGTAATCTTATTTTGAGGATATCCCACTTACTTTAAGTATATTTTATACTAAAATAGGCGCCAAGAAGAGTTTCTTATTTTAAGAGGAAAATCCTCTAAATAGTAATATTGATAAGAATATATACTGATTAGAATATAAAAAGTTTCTATAGAAAAACATACATATCTCACTATCGAAAAAGACTATATTCTTAAATTAAGAATATATTCTTAAATAAAGAATATATTCTTAATTTCAGAAGAATATCATCTAAAATCTCTTGAAGAAGATTTTTTAAGTATAAAATCTTCTACTTACAAGAATATAATTTTTTCGGTGTGAGAGACCGAAGGGTTAATATTGGTGAATATTTTTAAGCGCAATTTTTTGGTGTTTTATATTCGCACAACGATAAACAGAGAAAAAATATCGCGTAATTATGATGATATGATGCGCAAGCAGAGAGAAGATATTGTGCGGCTCGCGTGTTTCTCACGAATTAAAAATTGCTAAACCGCGCGGCTCGAATATTCGCGGCGCGTTTCGTCGAACATCGCGGTCGTGGAAACAAATTTGTCGTCGCGCTCTGAACGCGGATGTAAATGTATATATATATATATACTTACAATTCATGTCTACGTGAACAGACGCCGACAGCGGGATCGACTTATTGTTATTGGTCGCGTTGCAGGTCAGCAGCGTGCGGACGTCGTCCCGGCCTAAATTTTGTATAACGAGCTCGCTGCGTGTCACGCCGCTGCGCGGCGTCATGGTTCGGTTGGTGACGAATTTGTCGTTGCGATACCAGGACACCGTCGGAGCCGGTTTACCTGTAAATACATCAATTTTTTTTTTTTCAGAGTGTCGGTCTTGCGAAAAAAAAATGATCACGCCCTTTTGTTGCGAAAAATCGCGGCGCACCGTTTTTGCGCGGAAAAAATCTTTTCGACACACGCGCGCGTTCAGAAGTGATCTCAATTCAAACAAAATTTAGTTTCAAACAATGAGTACGCGCAAATACGGTCAATAAGATTCTCTATTGTTAAAATTTAGTTTCTCTTTAACATTGTATCTTTTCACGTTTTCTTTTATAAAATCACAATTGCGTAGATATTTCTACTTGTTCGATAAAATTTTTTCGCAAATTGTTCTCTGCGCATAATATTGGAAGACGATCGATTTGTAGCTGCATTTGAAAAATTTTATTCAAGACCACACGATGTTAATGGAGCATGATAATTACGATATGTGTGTTATTGTAGAAGAGAGCGAACATTGCACAAATGGAACATGAAATTAATCCTTTATTATAGAACGGCACAGATAGCATTATTAAATGATCAACTTCAATATTACATGCGTTTACATGCAAACACAAACACTTGAATTATTTCATAACTATATTCGCGTATATACGCTGCGCGCGCGTACGGAAGTACACACGCGAATAATTTTACTTACAATATAAATGTTATTTATATCATAATTAATAAACATAACTGATATAAATTAATATGTAAATCAACGTAAATAATTACTATTGTAAAAGTTATCATACATGCATTATTGTTTTAATCAAATCGCTTATATTTAATATTTTTAATTCTTTTTGTACTTTACTACAACAATAAAACACAACATTTCTGTATAGTCAATCATTTCTACGTAATGCCACTTTTGTGTGATATTTATTATTACCTTTATTATTTTTAACTAGTTATAATATCAAGCATCATTTAACTTAATCTTTAAATTAATTTGATTATCATTTAACTAATAATAAATGATTATTTTAAATAATTTTTAACTCTTTTTTGTGCACTTTAATACAATAATAAATTACACATTTCATATAATCTTGTATAATGCCACTTTTGCAATATCCATTGCCTCAACATTATTTACGTAATAAATAATGCTTTAAGCTGATAATTTAATTACATTTTAAATAATATTTTTAATTCTTTTTGCATTTTAATGAAATAATAGAATACACATTTTGTATAATCTTGTATAATGTCACTTTTGTGTGATATCCATCGCCTCGACGTTTAACAATAAATAATATTTTAAATAATATTTGAATAATATTTTTAATCTCTCTTTCTGCGTTCTTCAATGCAATAATAAAATACATATTTTGTACAATCTTGCACAATGTCACTTTTGCGATAATCATTGCCTTGACGTTATTTAATTCTACACGCTATATTAAATAGTTGGGTAATTTAACCACAATCCAAATATTGATGTTTTGCAAATATGTTTATCCTGTGATAATATAATAATAACTAAACTTTATATAATACCATAATAATCATAAATAAACGTTAATTAATATTACGGTATTACAATGTATGTGTGTGTTAGCTATTTTAAGTTTCTCATTGCGCCAATCAATTGACATTGGCACATACACTACATTTGAAGAACAGTAAATCAAAGAGATGTGTAACACAATTAACAAGATGGTTCTACATATTTTATTAAATCGAAATCTTCGATTTATTCGCAAGAAAATAAAATCGCACGATTGTTTGATAAATTATTAAACGCGAACACGAGAGAAATTGCATACATTCTCGTTACGCCAGTGGGTAACTCACCGCCATGGACGTCGCAGAACAACCGCATGTCCTCGCCCTCCGTGTACGGCCCGACCTTCGAATTCCGCATCTCGGTCATCTCCTTCGTGTCGACGATTGTGATATGATGCGGCGGCACTGGAAAACGAGCAGAAAACGTCGATGTAGTAGTTATATCGTCGGTGAATATTCATGAGTTTTTCTCTGTTCCTGTGCGACGCGACCCGCCGCCGCAAACCGCCCCAGCAGACCTCGTCGGCGCGCTTTCGCGACGCGAGGAGCTGGCGCAACGGCGGTGGCGGCACGTCACGAAAAGTCCGATAACACGAAATTGGTATTGGAAGATCGTGCCTGAGATATCGTGACGGCATTAAATTGAAATCTGAAATCGATATCGAACGCCGCCGCCGTCGCCGCCGCCGACGCCGGAGGTACGTCGCGATGTATTTCTGACGGGCCACATGTACCGGGTGATGCGCGTTCGCTGAGCGCGCGTTGCACTTCTGTTCATTCTTTTCGACTCCGGCGAGTCCAAAAGCTGGGAATTGTTGCGGTATCGGATATCGGACAAGCGTAAAGTTCGCCGTTCGGGAAACGGAACTTAAAATAATAAGAACCGACGGAAAGTCTGCACTTTATCGTTTCCTTTCGAAAAGTAGAGAAAGAGAGAGAGAGAGAGAGAGAGAGAGAGAGAGAGAGAGAGAGAGAGAGAGAGAAAGGGAAAGAGGCGCAATCTCTCTCTCTTTTTTTTAATTCTCTCGTAAATGAGTTTATCGCGTTTTATTCGGAAGTTCTTTGCGGGGTTCGTGGCAAAGAATCGAAAATTACGACGTTCGCGAGTGCGCGAGGTTTGGAGAACCACTTCTCGACGGTCAGAATTCCGGGCGATATAATTGGAAAATTACAATCGCAAAAATCAGAAGAACCGCATTCAAGAACGACCCGTCCTTATTTTTCTTCCCCCGGCGCAGCTTTTCTCGTCGCATAAAGAATTATTTTTGTTCTCTGCGCGCTCTCGGAGGTGGAAGGAACGGGGGCGTTTCGTTCTTATTGCAATCTCCTTTCATGGCGCATCAAGCGCGACAGTCGGGCGCGCTTTTGAAATCAAAAGCAACCTTCCCTCCCTCCCTCCCTCCCTCCCCCGGTGCACTTGGTGAAATACCGTCGTTTCCCTCAGCTTGCATCAAATGCATTATTACTATTAGTCTGTAAACTCGTTGTTGCGGGGTTGCCGGGTTTCATCTGTTTGTCCCTTTCTCTATCGGTTCCTCAAGATTTTCTTCCTCCTCCTTTCTCACGCACACTTCCTTAACGTTCTCTTGTTCCGGTAATCCTGACAAATGGCACGTTGGGAGGCATCATTTATCGGTATTAGCCTTTGTAGTATTTGCGGTATCATAGTCCACCGCGTGTAATGCATTACGCGTATCCCGATATTGCCTTCTCTTCGCGAAGAAGAGAAACCCCGACGCTGCTACTCTTCTACCCGATGCTGCTTCGGTCGTTCGCGACCTCTTTTTAAAGGCGCAGGTCCCATCGTAAAGGACGTTTTACTCGGGAGGTTGCAGCAGTAGTCGAGCACGCTGCGGAGCGCGGCGCGCCATTAATCCGCGACAGGTCTGACAGTGGCGCACCTGCACTACTGCCGTTATTTATTTCCGCGGGAACTGCCGTGGCTTGGCGCTCTATACTGACGAGAATTATCGTGCTTTAATGAAACCGATCTCTCGCAGTAAAACTCAATTTATTATCCAACTCGCACGCGCTTTCACGTCCGAGTTCGTGTCGGACACTTTCTTTCCCCTAATTATCCGCCGCGTTTAACTAAAAGCTAACGTTCGCGAGATCATTTATGCGAGCGCGCGCGCGCGCGCACGAACCAATCATTTTTCATACATCCCATTTACCCCCGGCGGAAACACGTACCGTAAGGTACGTACGTGTGAAAGCAAGTTTTGGCCGCGAAATGCTTGACGATGATTAAATTTGTTCCTCTCGTTAGCATCAACGTTAGCGATTATCGTGATTAAAACGTAAAAATAGTATCGCGTCCGGCGGAGAGAGCGCACAGAACGATTAACATGCGCGATGCCGTGCCATTAATATTCCCCTCTCTTCCCTTTCCAATTAACTAACCAACGCGTGTAATTTTCTTAAAATTATGAACGTCGGCGAGATATTTACGATTATGGAAGATATACACACAGAGCACGAAAAATAACCAAATAATTCGGAGAAGAAAAAACAAGATATGCAAAACAAAAAAAAAACAAAAAAAGAGACAAATTGAACTCGCGCTTTGTCGCTTTTCGCGACAGAACGAAACGAAAAGGCGGAGAGAATATTTTTTTAATTTAATAATAAATCATATCTCGCGCGTTTCACGAGATGCACGTTTCACATCTTGTGTATCTTAAGCCGATCGACTTATTTGACGCTTGAAACGTGCCTCAAACACTTTGTGGTCGACTACGCTGCATATAGTTATCGCAAAGCGCAGATCCGATTATATGCGAAATTTTCCGTAAAGTATCACAGCAAGAGCTAATAGAGTTATTATAACAAAGTGTATGCACCAAGAACTGCGGTTCTGGATTAGAAATTTTGAAAGCAGACTTCGCCTCTTTGACGTATCACGTGCGTGATGTAAAGGGTCGTCCTTTGGACGACGTCGGCAATTTAATTTCCTTCGCGTTTCTCTACGCTACACGATCCTAACGTATTAATTAATTACTTAAGTAATTAGAAATAGAAGATATTCAAGTCAAACAAATTTTGAATCTGTTCAGCGTCTAAAATCAAACATCGAATAATATATTTTGATATTTCTTTTGCGTGAAAAAAAAAAAACTAAAATTTTATTCCGTCTCTCGAAATCATATTATTCGCGTTTTTTTTAAATATATTTTCAAGAATATGTTAATTATTTCAATAAGTTTAATATATTTTTATTTCAATTTAATACTTTAAAACATTTTCTTTTTTTTTGTACAACACACTGTCATATTACGTAGCGGCATTTTCAATGAACATTTTATGTTTGAAAGTGATCTTTTTTTTTTTTTTTTTTTTTTTACAATTTGCGACGTTCTACATTTTCACTCAAAATGTAGAATAATGAAAATTTTGTTGACTTTCGCGCGCACAGTCGATCAACGCTCGCATTTCATTTGCGTACTTATCTACACGGAACAGTTGGATTTTATTGTTTATAAAGGCTCTTGATTTTTGAAAGAGAGACGTCTCATCAGCATCGAGAGCGCGGCGTCGGAACGGGGCGGAAGTCCGAAACTGTTTTTCGTGATTAATGTCGCACGTTGGACGGCGGTTTTTGCGGAAAAAAGAGGGAGAGAGAGTAACGGACGACCGAGCCATCGGGTGGTAATTGTCGTGCCCGCAGTTACGCCGGTTAATTTGAGCCGCCAAAAAGTTACTTCCGCCTTTTGCTCCCGTCGTGGCCATAAAAAAATTTTACTGCGGTTCGCGTGCAGGTGCGCAAATGAAGTCGTATCGGTGTGCAAATGGCGTCCGTGGCGAACTGCGGGATTTGATTTCAGGTCCGAACTTTACGTTTCGCAGCGAGAGAAGTTCGCGCTCTGATAAACCAGCGCTTTCGGGAACGGGGATGGAAATAAAATACACACGCGACTGCACGAGGAAGGATTTAAATCGAAGTCGCGCGCAGTAAGTCATCGGATATATTTCGCGCGAATATAAGCGCGATGTAATAAATTGTTCGCGCGCGCGAACTGCGCGATAGATCGGCGATTGCCGTCCCCGATCTATCGCGGTGGACGCGCGTTAACGGTCGAGAAGAGACTTTCGACTTTGATTAAGAAAGAATGTGTAAAAAAACAATGAGAGCGTGACACTTTAGATTTTTTTTTTTTTTTTTTTTTTTTTTTTTCACGAACAATTTGCATACGCAAATGATTTTTCATGCATACATTGCGCCTTTCATCGCGCCAGCTTTTTTATTGCATTCCTCCGTATCAAGATCAAGCTCAAACGAAAATCGTTTTTATTCTAAATTACGATTGCAATTCCCGGTTTTTATCATCGCATTCACTTTCGTCGTCCCGCCATCGGTATGCATGGTACGCAACATCATGGTGCGCAACTATGAAGTTCTGTCGCGGTGATTTTTTAATTTTCGACGCGTGACACAGCGGCGCGATTAGACTGTTACTCGCATATGAGAGGGGAAAACAAAGTATGAGGGAGAGGGGGAAGCGCGTGAAATTGCCCCCGTGATTGAAAAATATTTCCACGGGAAATACACACAGAGGTGCTCATGGACAAAAGTACGCTTTTTATTCATAAAGCGGCGGCGGCGGCGGCGGCGGCGGCAACTGTGAAAAAAAATAAAGCGTCTGCCGACGTTTTCTGTGAACAAAAAAAAAAAAAAAAAATATCGAGCTCGCATACACAAGCGCGAGAAAGCGTATATATGAATTTTTAAAAGAGGCCGGTCGCGCGCGTTTCGATTTTCGTCAATGCTGCAGCGATGAATAGAGTGATCCGATTCGTTTCCGCGAGCGTGTTCCGCTTTGACGAACGTTCCACTTTCGTCGTCTCTCTTTCTGCCGGTATCTATCCCATACTGTACACACACACGCACACAGACGCGCGCGCGTGCACGTGTCTCATTTCACTCCCCTCTGTTCTGTTTTCCCGTCCTTCGCGCGTTCATTTCGCTCTCCCTCTTTTCGCGCGTGCCGAATCAAAAACACGTTTGTTAATCCCGCGAGATGGCGAGAAAACGACGCGACGGAGGATCCATCCGCCCCTCGGCTCCTCACTTGTGTGTCACTGTGTGTTCGCGGGAGTGTCGCAAAATGCGCATTGCTCTCGTTATTTCACGAACGGCGTCGCGCGCTGCACCACCGGCGTGTTGCACACTTGGAAAATCGCGGCTAATACTCGCGCGCGGTAATAAGCGCGTACATCGCGCGCCCGCTCCTCTTTCGTCGATATAAACACGCAAGAGAGAGAGAAAGAGAAAGAGAGAGAGAGAGAAAGAGAGAGAGAAACACGCGCGCGAGTTGGTTTCATCTCTCGCCAGAATTGCAAAGGCATCTTCATTCAGTTCAAAGCTAATGCGCGTCGCGAATGAAACCTTATAATGAGCAACCGTG